GGAGAGAAGAGTGGGAAGAAGCTAGAAGTTATGAGGGGTAAAAGCTTTTCAGTTTTGTAAGCTATATTGTGGTTCATCTTTGCAATATGTACAAGATTTTATCTCTACTGAAAAATTAGCTGAGGGCATTGTGACAGGATGAAGCTTGATGCAGAGGAAGGAGAATATGCTCTAGGACAAAGCACAATTCATGCCAGCCACTTGCTGCATCTATTTTTGGACAAATTGTTCAAATTCTAGAGGTATTTTAAATTTTACCTGTAAAGTAAGAATAATTCACTTTGCAGAGTTCATATGAGAATTATATGATATAATCTATAAATAGTATATCAATAGCACAATTGCTTTTATTGGTACTGAAGGCAGTTTCAGAAGCCTCTGAACATCTCAGCTAGTGGGACCCTGCTTGCTTCTATGATGTAGCTTTCTTATACACACACACACACACACACACACACACACACACACACACACATCAAAAAACTGCAGTAATCAGTTTTGGTCTAGGAATTACCACTGAACAAATGGGACACTTGGTACATATATTCTTACACAGACATACAATGCTTTTTTTTGAGACAAAGCCTTACTGTGTAGCTCATACTGGGTTTGAACTCTCAATTTTCCTACCTCTGCCTCAAGTGCTGGGATTATAGGCATGTGCCATAATGACTATTTCATACAAGCATTTATACACACATGAACAGCCAACATTTTTTCCAATGAATTTAGTTAATTTACTAAAACCTATGGAAGTGTCTCTACTAAAAGATAGTTAGGAAAGATGCCATGCAAAAGGTGAATTATTTGAGGCAATAATAATAATATAATGCTTTGCTAGGCCACATGGAAGAGAGGCAAAGTATAAAATATGGTCTTGCTTCTCCAGGGCAATAAAAATTTGGGACTAGAGATAAACCTATCTGTGACAATCTACTGTACAAAATATATTTGAAAGAGAAGGCTCAAATGACCTTGATTAGAGAACTTCATATTCTCAAGAAATTATTTCAGGCACTAAGAATGTTATTAAAGAATTTCATATTGGTCTTTACATTGACATGCCCACTGCTGAATGTCCAAGTGACAGAAGGTCCCAAGTGGAGAGACAGTTTTAGCTTGGACTAATTATCTGGTAACCAGGGAGGAGATTGTTAATCACTAAATTACTTTCTTCTGGGAGATGGAACTTGTGAGACAAGGCCCTACATGACAAAGCAACTCAGCCTTTCCAAGACTTTTGATTAAGTTGGCACATAAAGGCTCAGATCCACTGGGGAGTGTCCCCAAAAGAGTTCTCCTCCCTTCTTGATTCAGCAGAGCAGTCAGTCATCACATTTGAGGTTCTCTCTTTTATGCATATCACTAAGGAGGCCCGCTTAGTATATTCCTCCCTTTTTTCACATTGAAGATAAGATAAAGTCATTTTTTTCTGCCTCCTGGATTTGCAGCATTCCTGATTTGCAGCCTGCTGATGCTGCTAGAAAAGTGAGTGGCGGCTTTACAATAAAAACTCCAGGATTTCAGAACTAGTTCAGCCTGTGAATTGCAGTGTCCTGAATTCACTTGGAAGCCCAAATATTCTGACTAAAGTATAAATAACTAATCTAAATCAGAGAAATATTGAGGGATTACATAATGTAAATTTGATAAGTTTGAGGGTTAATAGATATCCAACCTCACATGGTGCTTCATATAACTTTTCATGGTGAAGCAGAAGTTATTAATATTATAGCCATGTAGATTCAAAGAAAGGTGGGAAGGGACCATTTATTATGCAACTTAATAGGTTTCATACATCAAAGCAAGTGTTCTAAAAACTTTATTGCATTTAATCGCACCACAGCCCCACTTGGTAAATGTCACTATTTACATCTCTTAAACATGAGGAGACAAGTTTATGTGAGATGATCTGCCTGAGGTATTATGCTACTGATAGTCTAAGATTGTAGCTCAGGTCTGCTTAATGCCAGATCCATTACCCCTCTTTTTTACCTAATACTTACTAGACACTTACAGCATGGTTCTGGCCTAAACTATCTGGATTTCCTGAATAACAGGTAAAATCTCACGCCATTCTTGCTAGCTGGACCTGGGATCTGGGCAATGAGACCTGGAGGAGAGTTTGGGGGGTGATGCTGAAGCACCCACATCTTCTACCCTATGCATCATATTTATTAACAACTTGAAATAGTGAGCTGATGATATGCTGATTTAATTTTCATTCTCTGTCTAAGACTTTTAATGTAACCACCCCTGTGATCTGTCCCACTTGGCATACTTTTTAGGAATATATTTAAACAAGAGCATTTCCGGAGTTCAAATTATGACACAAATGAAACCATCTCATGTGAGAAATAGCACAAATTGGACAGAAAACTTTGGACTGCAGGATGAGTCTTCAATGTCTGAAATGTTTCATTTAGAAATGGTCACAGAACAGAGTGACTATGTAGAAGTCTCACAAAGGCAGGTTTATCTGGTCATAGGAAAAAACTTTTATGGAATCATGTCTTCCAACTCTAAATCAAGCAAGTCAGGAAGTATTGGGGTTCCTTGTGCATTGAAGGTGTCCTGATAGCTAGATACTGTCTTGAAAACTCAAGCATCAAATGGGGAACTAAGCAAGGCAAATTCTGAGGTCCATTCTAGCTCTAAGAATTCATGATCCATGGTACTGCCCATGAAAATATTTTATTATAGACACTAGAGAGCACCATCAAGATTATAGAGCTTGATGTAACTTAATAAAGTGCTCAGAAGTTATCATTATGGCATGGAATGTAAGGCCATTTTTTATCATTCAAGTGGTATACTGGCCTGTAGTCTATAAATGTCTGTTTGTTGTAGGCATCAAAATGCTGTGTTCTTAAGTAGTAGAATTTTTTCCACGGAGAAGCTCAAATGTTAGATGTAAGCTGTTTCCATAAAAGCTCCTAAATAAGTAATTTTTTGAAGTAATATTAAAAAGTAGAAATGGAAAATAGCTTATGTTTCTCAGACTGCATTTACCCATGCAACATGTAATTATTGAGGGTTTAAAGTTTATACAGAATTTGGCTTAGTGCTATGGAAAGATAAAAGGCAGGAGAGTTGCCCTTGAGCTTACAAATAATAATGAGGATTATCTTTTATTAGATTGTTGTCACTATGGGTTAATCATTGTTGTATGTATCTTACATTAAATTCACAGTAACTCTTTGAAATAACTATAACTATTTTGGCATTTTCAAATAAAGTAAATGAGACTCAGAGAAATCATATATTGCCTGGCATAAGAGTCAAGAGATGGAATTTTTTAAATCACATCATTTTATGCTAAAGATAATTTCACATTAATATTCCAGGTCCACATTTTACTGTGAACTTTCCTCCATGTTTACAGTAAAATATGCAATATTTTTGATATCATTAGAAATTATATCAGACATTTTTAAAGTTCAGAAAAGGAAAATAAAGTGGAGAGACCACTTGTTAGCTACAGGGAAACACTAGATACTTGTAACATTTGTGACAGCCTCTAATGACACTGAGATAGATTTATATGAATTATTTTTACTAGACTTTTAATGGAAGTGGTATTTCTAGATTTCTCTTCAAAGATCATTTTGAATAACAAGAAATGTTAAGATTTGGCAAGTTGAAGTAAATATTAATGCTACCTTTTATCTGCCTTCCTAAATATGAGTTAGCATGAGAAAAGAAATGGAATGAATGCCTTTGGGTATTATGTTCATTAAAACGTTTTCATGGACCCTATATGCCCCCACCCTAACAATCAGGTTTCATATTAGGCCTCTACAAGGGAAGGGAAATATGAAGAAATTGAGTGTATGGTATTTCACATTCATGCCCAAGCACACAGAAAGTACTTTTGAATCTCCAGCAACTTTTGAACATATTTTCTCATACTTCCACCAGCCAGGAGGAAATCTATGATCAATCACCTTTTCCTTCTATTCCTATGCCTCCCCTGATTGGGTAAGGTTAGAGAAACAAAGAGAAAGAAATGCTTTGTTTCTGTGGGCTTTTTCCTGGCACTGTCAAGCTCAGGCCTATGTAAGCCCTTTGCCCCATTGGCTTTATTTTCTATTTCCTTTATTTTTCATCACATCATGAGTACTTAGGTGTTACATCCACATTCCACACTTAACACCTCAGGATACATTGCAATACATAAATGAGTAAGTGAAATAAATAAATACTAAGTAAATGCCTTCCCTCCTTCACCTAAATGACTCTGAGCCCTAAGATCTCCTTGATGATTTCTTGTGAATCTACTGAGATAATTTAATTTTCATTCCACTTCTTATGAAGATAATTCCTTCATTTTGGTCATTTCCTCTGCCACTTTTGCTTTGCTCTCATGTTACTTGGTCCTACTTTTGGCAATAAAAAATTGAGGTTTAGAAATTTACGTGGAAACACTTCATGAAAATCAAGGAAATTCCCTGTATAGCTATACAAACAAAAATGTCATTTTTTTTCTTTTACAGAATCAAAGAACAGGAGGGTAGAACAGGTCCTGTCTGGGGGGTTTGGTACCAATGGGAGGGGGGAGAATATGGGGACATGGGTGTAGGAGGGTGAATACGGTACAAATACTTTGTACACATGTATCCAGATAGAAAAATATGACTTGTTGAAACTATTCCAGGAGTGGGGAAAGAGAGGATAAAGGAGAATTGTGGAGGATATGAATTCAAGAACGATATATTTGATATATTGTAAGAATTTTTGTAAATGCCACAATGTACCCCCACCCAGCACAACAATAAGTCTTTGACCAGACTTCAAATTTTGCAATAAAAAAGTCAACAAGAAACAAAGAAACAAACTAATCCTGATCCTTCTTGTTTCTAATTCCAGCCTTGATTAGCAAAATAAGATTCATAGCCAGAGTGTAAATATGTGACCAGAATTGTAAGACAATAACTCATTACCAGTCTGATTGTTCCTATTGTGCTTGTCACTCTCAAAAGAGAACAGCTGGTAGCTCAATGAGCTGGGAGAATAGCTCACTCTTGATGGAGTTTGTGTTCCTGGCCTATCCCTCCAACCCAGAGCTGTGTATACTGTCCTTTGTTGGAATCAGCCTGGTTTATGTGTTTATCATTACTGGGAATCTCCTCATTGTGAAGTCCATCCAGACAGACGCTCGTCTACACACGCCCATGTACTATTTCTTGGGCAGCCTCTCAGGAGTAGAGATATGCTACACGGCTGTGGTGGTGCCCCATATGCTGGCCAACACCCTACAGTCAGAGAAGACAATCACCCTCCTGGGCTGTGCTGCTCAGATGGTTTTCCTCATTGGGCTTGGCAGTGCTGATTGCTTCCTCTTGGCTGCCATGGCCTATGACCGATACATTGCCATTTGTCAGCCCTTGCAGTACCCTCTTATCATGACCCTGACTCTTTGTGTCCGCCTGGTTGTGGCATCTGTGGCCATTGGCTTGTTCCTATCTTCACAACTGGTAGCCTTCATCTTCTCTCTGCCATTCTGCCAGGCTCGGGGTATCAAACACTTCTTTTGTGATGTGCCACCTGTCCTGCCTCTTGTGTGTGCCAACAGCCACATCCATGAGCAGTCAGTACTGGTGGCAGCCACCCTAGCCATTGCTGTGCCTTTCTTCCTCATTGCCACTTCCTATGCCTTCATAGTGTCTGCAGTGCTCAAGGTCCACTCAGCAGCTGGCCGCCGCAGGGCCTTCTCCACCTGCACCTCTCACCTCACTGTGGTGCTGCTTCAGTATGGCTGCTGTGCCTTCATGTACCTGCGTCCTAGTTCCAGCTACCGCCCCAAGCAAGATCAGCTCATCTCAATGGTGTACATATTGGGAACCCCACTGCTCAACCCCCTCATCTACTCACTGAGAAACAGTGAGATGAAAGAGGTCATAGGGAAAGTTTTAACCAGGAATTGTCTCTGCTATAAAAGCTAGAATAAGAGAGGGCCAACCCAACAGAATTTAGTTCCAGTCAATGCAAATCTTTATGCAATTTTGATTTCTGTCATCTGATGTTCAAATAGATTTAAAAACTATCACAGATTATATTAATACTGTTTACCTATCTGTACGAAAAGCTTTTAAAACATTTTTGCCATTTAGGTCAGCAATTGCTCTTTTAGGGCAGAAATATAAAAGTAAATGAGCATAAAGTAATACAAAGAGGTGATGACAAGACTATTCACCATAAGCTGGAAAGCAAGAGATGGTTCATTCAACAGGTTATAGCTTAAAAAGTATACAAAAGGAATTGTCTGAAGCAAAAGTGGCTTAGGTTAGGGAACAAACAAGCAATAACAATATCAGGAAGCCATTGTCACTTCTTGAGCTAAAAAGGGAAAAGGAGGCCAGTATTGTCAGAAACCAGTGAGAGTTACATGTTTTTTTCTGCTTGAAATCCTCATTTCTTTTTTTTTTTCCTTAGGGTACATTTTTATTACTCAATGAATCTTTTAATTCCTTTTAAAAGTTATAATTTTTGAAACATGCTTTTGATGAATATCCCCAGGACTTAAAACAAAGTGAAAATCAGTATTTACAAAGTCTACATTAATACTATCAAATTGCTTGAAAGATTTTGAGTAATATTCATGATCAGATTCTTTTTTTTTCCTTTTTCTTTTATTATTCATATGTGCATACAAGGCTTGGTTCATTTCTCACCCCTGCCCCCACCCCCTCCCTTACCACCCACTCCTCCCCCTCCCTCTCCCCCCCACCCCCTCAACACCCAGCAGAAACTATTTTGCCCTTATTTCTAATTTTATTGTAGAGAGAGTATAAGCAATAACAGGAAGGGACAAGGGTTTTTGCTGGTTGAGATAAGGATAGCTATACAGGGCATTGACTCACATTGATTTCCAGTGAGTGGGTGTTACCTTCTAGAAATCCTCATTTCTTGTGCTCTCTTCCCTGACCAAACCCATCAGGAAGCAAGGGGGACAGGGACATGGGTGATTCTATCCACAGAGGTCAGTTCCTTGTAGCAGAGGGTATAGCATAGAACCTTGAGAGTTAGGGACAAACAAAATAACCAGACAAATGATTTATTGTAGTATTATATGTAAAAATGAAAATATGTTAACAATCCAATTTCCCCCAATAAAGTATTGATTAAATAATTTTTGTATGAAGTACTATGACTCAGCCTTAAATTTGTTTTGTAATGTTAGTTAACATTAGTAATCACTAACATTAGTAAAGTGCTTATTGTGTGCCACAAAGATTTATTCATCTGTATGTAATATGTGTAGTATATAATTAACATGTATATAAATATACATCTTTTCTATCAATAATCAAAAATCCTATGTTTTCCCAGAAAACATATAAAAGGATAGAAGAGTATCTGTAGATAACTATAGATTATGATGTAAATCCTAGAAAGTATTTTGCACTGTAATAAAGGAACATTCCCTACTGCCAGATTACAGGATACGGGCAATGTGCCCATGTTAATTAAAAATTGCTATGGATAAATGGTCGCAATAGGTTTCTCTTTCCTTTTGAATGAAATTATTATAACCTGAACAGGGGACTAGACAGGGGATGCCATTATTATTACCAATTTGCAGATAAGGAAACTGATGGATATGGGAGATTAGAGAATTACCAAAGGCAACAAAACTAGCCAGGGATCAAACAAAACACTGGGGCAACTGAGCTTGTGCACTTAGTAACTATCACTGTTCCCTTTTGCTGTTCATGGAAAGCCAGAAGTCTGTGTTGGTTGAGGTTCCAGTTATAATGCAGAGCAGCTGAAGGTGGTTTGTAGGAGATAACATCAGAAATTTCAGAAAGTCAGGCTGGCGGAGTGGTTCAAGTGGTAAGAGTGCCTGCTTATCTAGCATGAAGTCAAGTTCAAACCTCAGTGCCACCAAAATGAGATAGCAAGAGAAAGAGAGCGAGAGAGAGGGAGGAATTTCACAAAATCAATAACATAGTGGGATATAAAGGTCATACTAAGGACTTCTATTTTATTCTAAATACGATGAAAAGTCAATTAAAGAATTTGGACAAAGAAGTAGCAATATTAGTTTTGCATTTTTAATGAATCACTCTTCCTTCACAGGAGAAAGTATACTATTTTAGGTGGTAAAGGGATTCAAGACTCTTTTAGGCATCTACTGTAACATTATAGGAAAAAAAGACATTTTTTATGTATTTTAAAGGTAAGTGCAGTAAAATTTTATATGGACTGGACATGGAGTTAAGAATGACTCCAAAACTTTTTTAGCCTGTGCAATACAATGAGACGTCCTTTACTAAAATGGAGAATCATGTGAGAAAAATCAGTGTCTTCCATAAGATGCCCACCCATGACTGTTTGAGTGAAGTTCAAGAGTAACAAAAATTCTCCAGTGATTACAAGGTAAAAAGTACATAGGAGTGTGAAGGTGAGAGTCCAAAATTATTAACAGGATCAGCCCCAACACCCCCAAAAGAGTGATGATGTAGATGAAGAGTAAGGATGTAAAGAGGGGGATCTGTAGACCAGAATCACTGGCCTGTCCTTGTTCTCCAGGGGTGTTATGTGGGAATCAGTAGTGTGCTACTCTGTCCTGCTCCCCATGAATATTATGTGAGGATCATTAGATGATATTAGGAGTGAAAAGAAGAAATGTACTGTTAAAGAAATTGGATCAAAAATAGAAAGTATAAAAGAAAGTATTCCATCATTGAGTAATAACTTGTACTTAAGGTTTTTCAGAAAAAGCCCTAGATTAGAAATGGTTTGAGTACAGTGAGTGTACTCAGGTTTATAACCCTCTGAACTAATCTTTAAACATAATCTAAAGGATCACTTATACAATTTTAAAATTTATTTTATTATAAATTCTTTATTGATATATGTGTTATGTGGGAGGGATTCACAGTGACCGTTTGGATCAGGCTTATATTGTACATTAGTTACATTTCTCCTATTGTCTTTCCCCTTCAACTCCTTCTAGGCCCCATTATTTAAAAACTGAGATGTAGATAACTTAATAACTCAATCAAAATTACTCCCAAACAGAGCAATGTAAAATATACTCAAAGTGTGGATACAACAAGAAATCTCTGTGTAAATTGTCTTTGGAATTAATAATGAAAAACAGGACTATAAATATACACAGTGTATGTGGGGCATATTTATGGGTGGGAGGAGCATGAATGGAGGAGATGAAGGTGAGGGAATATGGTTGATGGACCTCATATACATATATACAAAATAGAACCATGAAACCTCTTGCAAGTTCTTTAAGTGGGGTAGGGAGGACTTTTGGGTATGGAGATTGTGGGGGTGATCTAACCAATGTGAAATGTAAGCCTAGTCAAAATTGTTACAAGAAATCCCCTCTGTGCAATGAATATACTCCAATAAAAATGAAAAAAGTATAACCCTGTGGCTTAAGTATTCAGTCAAGTTGCTTTCACTGAACCCAGTAAAGCCAACACATTGATCACCTGACAGTAATTGCTATCCACAATTTAGATGTTCATTCACGGTTCTTAAGAATGTCATTAACTTGATTGAAAAATTCAAATTGTAAATTAATTGGCAATCACTGCTCTGGACCCATGTAAAACTTTAAACTATTCTGAATGGCTAAGGGACTTTATTGAAATAAAGTGAATCTAAATGAAAAACTCTGAGGGCTTACCAACAAGGAACAATCATGATTCTGGGAGTCTTGGGACACCTAGCGACAGTATCTGGGTGGTCATGGAGAGGGTCAGGCTCTGACATGGTCCCATAGAGAATTGAAATACAGTTCAGAGAATGTTAATTCATTTAAGATTCTCCTTAAATTTTTAAAAGACGAATCATTTCACTGTTCTGGGGTTTTGTTTGTGTGTGTTTGTTTTTTTGTCCTCCAAAGAGATGACCCTTTGTAGTGAAAATGATAAAGTCATCATCCAATCCGTCAAAGCATCACCTATGTTATTTTTTAGATCTTTTCATAAAAGAAGCATTATTTATCATATGAATCACTAAGGTCTGTGGGCATTTAAATCACAGACTCCCCTCAAGTTTTGGAACTATTTTGAAAGCATATCATTTTGTATTCAAGTAACTCATAGTTAGAATAGACAATCTAATGCTATTGAATGAATTGCACTTCTCTTTTAAGTGATTATGGAGTACAGAGGCTTCACTATTCTACAAGGGAAAGAAGTTAATCCAGAAGAGTGAATCTGGATCATAAAATCATCTGTGGAATATTGCATTAAATTCCATTTTTAGGATCTCTGTCTCAGTGAGGGATAAAAAGTTTCCAACTACTATAATACAAGGTAAAAAAATGGAAGAACAGACATAAACATGGGACAAGTTCTAAATATACCATTAATTCTTTCTGTGTCCTTGGAAGGCCACTTACTCTCACCTTATTTATAAAATAAGCTTGATAAAATAATTTCTTTTCTGCACTTATATATATATATGTATGTGTGTGTGTGTATGTGTGTGTGTATACACATTTTATTGCACTGTATTCACCCTCCTACTCCCTTTGCCCAGTACCTCCCCCTCCCCTGGTGACATCCCTCTGCCCTGGACAGGACTTATTCTGCCCTCCTGATCTCCAGTTTTGTAGGAGAATAAAAAAGAAAAGATAAAATGAAAAACATGAAGACAATTTCTGTCAACCACTCATATTGTGTATGTAAATATTGACAGGTCTGCAAAACATCTTCTGAAGTTATCATTTAAAGGTCATTCGTGGGGGGATAAGATTGAAATACATTATATGCATTGTAGAAATGTAACAATGAAACCCATTATTTTGTACAATTAATATAAGCTAAGAACAAAAAGTCAATCAATGTGAATTTATTTTTGAGTATTTTCACTGATCGTGATTGAAAGCTCATAGCAAATTTTGAGGTTTTAACAAGATCTATATTCCGTAAGTGATCATCCTTCAAATGAATAAATGATGAAAACCCAA